CCAGTATAATATACTGGAGTTTGGAGCACCGGTGCTCCAGTCTCCAGAATATTATACTGGAGCCGGCAAAATATACCGGTCCAGCATAATATGCTGGAGTTCATACACAAGTGCACCGAACTCCAGTATATTATGCTGGACCGGTCTCTATTGCAGCAAAATAGTGGCTATTTTTCATTGACTTGGTAAACGCTGGCTATTTTTGATTGACCGGTCTGAAAACGGCTATACCGTGCTATTTTTACCTTAATCACCCCCCTCAACTAGGCCTTTTGAGAGTCATACCCCCCCCCCCCTCCGGATGCTGATGTGGCAAATTCTCTCTCTCTGTAGCAAAGATACAAACATTACCTCTTCATCAAACATTCTTGCTTATATTATTCTATGTTTTTGCATCAGATTCAAGAATAGTTCGAACATTCTAGGATTTATCTGTCACGCATCATTGTCAGGAGGAACAATCAGCTAGCTCATTTATTATTGGGTGAATCATTCCTTTTATTTACTTAAATGCCATTTATTGTTATTTATTGCTAATTACTCCTCCATTATTGCTCATGCTTTTGGAATATTTAATAATGCACGATATTATTAATCCCCCACTGGATCGACCCCACATCATCCATATTTTCAAGATCCACATTTAGGAATATTATTGTTAACTAGGTTTAACCTAACATTATATAAATATAAAGGTTTAACCGAAAGTTATACTTTTTGGTCATACAGAGCTAACTTACGCTTTTAAAAACTTTTTTTTATTTCTACTAGTACAAGTCGCTTGGTGATAATGTAGTATTCATAGTACAAATCATGTTATGCGTATAAAAATTCAGAAGAAAATTGGTGTGCGACTATGGTGGAATAATAAAACACCATTTTTTTTAAAATAAAATATATTTTTACCTTTTTAAGTATGTTACTTTTTTAGATAATTTTTTTCGAATACAATTTATAATAGAACTTGGATAGAACTTCTTTATTTAGGCTAAATTTTTTTATTTGGCTAAAAATTATAAAGTTTTAATTAATCTTTTTTTTGGATTTGACCTGAAAATAAAGATTTATATAATTGAAATAAATAGTCAAGGCATCTAAAAAGTTATAAAATACATAGTTGAAATTAATTATTTTGGCTATACTTTTTTATATANTCAAGATTCCGTTTTATCTAGTTCACTTATAAGATTAAATAGTATGTAAATGTATTCATTTCCTCTGCATTGACACGATCAATACTACTATCGGAGTGAAACAAGGGATCTAAAGAAGAAGAGAGGCTAGACTATATTAGTAACAAGCAAACCTTTTATGTGTATCTCCAAATATTTTGGAGATAAATACCAATTAGAAGGTCTGAGACGACCCAGAAAGCACTTGATCATATCATGATCTGATTTGTAAGCCTACTTGGGTCTTGAGTATTTACTTGTAAGAACGGAATTCTTTGTTTTGTAATGGATAATTGCAACTCCGTAAAAAAGAATTCAGTCAAATTTTTCTTACATTGAACCATTCCTATATCATATATGTGTATGTGTAAATACAGGTACCATATATATATTTTATATGGATATATGGATTCATTTGGTTCTTTTTATTCTTGCTCGAGCTGGATGATTAAAAATTATCATGTCCAGTTCCCTCGGGGGATGGATCTATAAGAATTCACCTATCCCAATAACAAAAAAACCTGACTTGAATGATCCTGTATTAAGAGCTAAATTGGCTAAAGGTATGGGTCATAATTATTATGGAGAGCCCGCATGGCCCAATGATCTTTTATATATTTTTCCAGTAGTAATTCTAGGTACTATTGCATGTAATGTAGGCTTAGCCGTTTTAGAACCATCAATGATTGGTGAACCGGCAGATCCATTTGCAACCCCTTTGGAAATATTACCTGAATGGTATTTCTTTCCTGTATTTCAAATACTTCGTACAGTGCCCAATAAATTATTGGGGGTTCTTTTAATGGTTTCAGTACCTGTGGGATTATTAACAGTACCTTTTTTAGAGAATGTTAATAAATTCCAAAATCCATTTCGCCGTCCAGTAGCGACGACTGTCTTTTTGATTGGTACCGCAGCCGCCCTTTGGTTGGGCATTGGTGCAACATTACCTATTGATAAATCCCTAACTTTAGGTCTTTTTTAAATTTTTAAATTGATTCAATTGTGAAATAACACGACATGTGTATCTAGGGAATAGTTTCTTCAAAGCGAATTCTCCCTAGATACATCTATTCAATTTAATTCTGAATTTTTTTTGAATATATGATATATTAATATATTAATTGTGCTAAAGATTTTCAATCTATTTTCACTAAGTAAGTCCAATAGATTTAAAACTTATTTTTTGCTAAATCAATTACGAAATATTTTTCTAAAATGCCCAATATCTGTTTTACATCTTCGCTACGAAAATGTTCAATTTTCATAAGATCTTCTTGGCTGTTATTCAAAAGGTCCAACAATGTATATATATTGGACATTTTGAGGCAATTATAGATCCTGGAAGGCAATTCTGATTGGTCAATAAAAATCGATTTCAATGCTATTTTTTTTTTGTTTTTTATGAGTTTAGCCAATTTATCATGAAAGGTAAAAGGGGATAAAGGAACCGTGTGTTGATTGTCCTGTAAATATAAGTTGTCTTCCTCCATATGTAAAAAGGGAATAAATAAATCAATTAAATTTCGGGATGCTTCATGAAGTGCTTCTTTCGGAGTTAAACTTCCGTTTGTCCATATTTCGAGAAAAAGTATCTCTTGTTTTTCATTCCCATTCCCATAAGAATGAATACTATGATTCGCGTTTCGAACAGGCATGAATACAGCATCTATAGGATAACTTCCATCTTGAAAGTTATGTGTCGTTTTTATAAGATATCCACGATTTCTCTCTATTTGTAATCCAATACAAAAATCAATTGGTTCCGTTAAACTGGCTATATGTTGTGTATTATCAACGATTTCGACATAAGGCGGTAAGATGATATCTTGAGCAGTTACATATCCAGGACCCTTGACACAAATAGATGCGTCAGAAGTTCCATAGAGATTACTTCTTAATACAATTTCTTTCAAATTCATTAAAATTTCATGTACAGATTCTTGAATGCCCGTTATGGTAGAATATTCATGTGGGACTTTCTCAAATTTTACACGTGTGATACATGTTCCTTCTATTTCTCCAAGTAACGCTCTTCGCATCGCAATGCCTATTGTGTCGGCTTGGCCTTTCATAAGTGGAGACAGAATAAAGCGTCCATAATAAAGGCGTTTACTGTCTGTTCTTGATTCAACACACTTCCACTGTAGTGTCCGAGTAGATACTGTTACTTTCTCTCGAACCATAGTACTATTATTTGATTAGATCATCGAATCTTTTATTTCTCTTAAGATTTCTTCAATGTTCAGTTCTACACACGTCTTTTTTTCGGAGGTCTACAGCCATTATGTGGCATAGGAGTTACATCCCGTACGAAAGTTAATAGTATACCACTTCGACGAATAGCTCGTAATGCTGCATCTCTTCCGAGACCGGGACCTTTTATCATGACTTCTACTCGTTGCATACCTTGATCCACTACTGTACGGATAGCGTTTGTTGCTGCGGTTTGAGCAGCAAACTGTGTTCCTCTTCTCGTACCTTTGAATCCAGAAGTACCGGCGGAGGACCAAGAAACTACTCGACCCCGTACATCTGTAACAGTGACAATGGTATTATTGAAACTTGCTTGAACATGAATAACTCCCTTTGGTAGTCAAAACCCGTCTTTATTGAAAAATCGAAGAAAAGCCCTTTCGTTAGAAGTAAGAAAGAACCTTTCTAGAAAAAAAGAAAGAGGACTGGAATCTATACATTGATTCACACTTTTTTTGAACCGTATGCATCAAAAGGCGCATGTACGGTTCCTAAGGGATACAATTTTACCCTAATCAACCGACTTTATCGAGAAAGATTACTTTTTTTAGGCCAAGAGGTTGATAGCGAGATTTCGAATCAACTTATTGGTCTTATGGTATATCTCAGTATCGAGGATGAGACCAAAGATCTGTATTTGTTTATAAACTCTCCTGGGGGCTGGGTAATACCTGGGGTGGCTATTTATGATACTATGCAATTTGTGCGACCAGATGTCCATACAATATGCATGGGATTAGCCGCTTCAATGGGATCTTTTATCCTGGTCGGAGGAGAAATTACCAAACGTCTAGCATTCCCTCACGCTTGGCGCCAATGAGGTTTTTATTTGAGAGAAAAAAGAAGACTATGCCTTCGCCATATGAATACTAAGTAATAATAGCATGGCACTTCGAATTCGATATGAGAAATTTTTGTATTGTTTTTTTTTTTCAAAACATTATATTCTGTATCGAGAGAGTAGTATGAGATAAGGGGTATTTCCGATTTTCTCTTATCTATCGGGAGTTCAGTTCAGCGTTGTTTTCATGCCGGAGAGTTCTTAACAATATTTATGTTATGAAAGAGTACGAAAAAAAAAAAAAAGATTTTTTCCTTATTTGATCGGATTAAAAATAGAAATTTGGGATTGCTGAATCACAGAAAAAAAAAAACGAAAAAATAAACAATATAAAGCAACGGAGACCATCATAGTATTTTTACTCCTCCNTATATATATATATATATATATATATATATATATATATATATATATATATATATATATATATATATATATATATTACATGAAAAAGATAAAAATACACAGTTGAAATAAATAGCCATTGTATCAAAAGAGTGTACAATTATAAAAAATAACTTACTCTATGGATACATTTTTAGAGCAATAAAATAAGGAAATAATGTAGTTCTATAAAAGTTTTATTATAAATTGCATTCGAAAAAAATTATCTAAAAAAGTAACATACTTAAAAAGGTAAAAGTATATTTTATTTTCAAAAAAATGCCACATATACAGAAAAATCCACCTGGCAGGTGAGTGCAACCACACAATTTGCCACATCAGCGAAGTTTAGGGGGGTGATAAGGTAATTTTGCCTTGGAAAAAACAAGTAACCTTCAGTCTCCACAGGGAAAAGATAAAAAAGAAATCTTAAAAGAAATGTTCAACTAGTGTTAAAACTGTTCCAATAATCCTGATGCCGTGATTGTCGCTATCTTTGCTCAATTCAGGGTTCCCCTTAAGGGATTTTTGCCTATGTATACAAATGTACAGTATTATACCAGCAAGCTTCAAGCACTATCTCCACCAATCTGGCACTTTCAGCCTCCTATTCCTATGTACATCAAGTTTTGCAGCAGGAAGCTTGTGCTTCACCTGCCTCCATATCATGTTTACAGCATCACCCTTCTTTGGAGGGTACTGGTACTCAAAGTGATGGGTAATGTTCTTAAGATAGCTCCACATTTCAAGCCATCTAGCTCTTGAAACGCTCCTGAGTTGATCAAGCATGTATCCTTCTTTCTTTGCCTCCTGACGTGAGAAGAATATTGAAAACTTGGTGTAGTCTAGTTCATCCTCAAAAGGTAGCTCAATTTTATCACTTACAATTACAGGAACACAATGGCTAACTATAGCATCAAACAGGCGGCAAGATGAGGGTGTGTCACCTGCTGGGTTTAGACAAAACTTCGAAGAACGCATCCCATTTGTTGACTGACATACAAAGGGAAACTTATAAGTAAATGTGAAGAAGTACAGGCAAAAATAACAAGACATTGATGGAAGGAGGAAGGGGATCAGAGCAAAAAGGAGCTAATCACTGAAGAGGATGAGTCGTCTTGAAGTTAATCCGATTAGTTAAGTGAGGGACTATTTGCTGAATGTGAACTGCAGTGGTACCTACTGAAAGTATTAGGTAACAGAATAAAAAGGCAACCGATACATCAGGGAAACTTAAAACTGTCAGGCGATTGGAAATGGCCAATTATGTAAGTTATGTAAGTATCTAACATATGACATTATATATACACATCGGAATGTGCTCTCATATTTTCCAGATGTAACAACTAGGAGATACCACCTGATTATACATAATCAGTTTGCATAATTAAACAACTTACTGCATTTACACCTTCCCCTGAGATTCCTGTTGCTTCGAAGACAACATCTTTTTGACCACTTAACATGTCTTTCAATTGCTGACGGTCTTTTCCTTCCTGCATCATACTAGAGTCAGAAAGATTTTTATCATTTGAGAATGCATAATTGATTTATTGGTAACTGAAGTAAGCATACATCTTTCCTGTCTGTCCTCCCCCGGAAGAAAAGAAGCATTGTACGAGACTCATATGGGTCTGAAATGTCATCAGCTACAAAAGTTTCAATTACATGTGCATATGGGGCCACTACATCTTTCCTCAAATTAGACACAGTTGGACGAGGGCGACCAAAATCTGCGACAACGAAGATAGCAGCATTCACCTTCTCCCGATAACGTTTGAAAGCATTTGGATGATGCATTGGTATCACATGATCCCGGCCAGAAGACCTCTTCCAATGTTCAGATTTTTGTAAGAAGTCAACAATTTCAACCTGTTAGAACAACAAAGTCAATGGAGGAAAATTATTATTACAGGGAGAATACTGGAATAACACTAGTACTAATATGCTTCGATTCCAAACTTATTGGATCAGCTATATGAATCCCTACACCACCAATAACAAATCTCTATGCAAACTACAAAGACTCTTGGAAAACACCAATCCCAATGTATGAGTACCAACACGATAAGACCTTAAAGTTGATATCGCCTACATGAATTTTTTGTCTACATTGTGTTCTATTCTTTAGAGGTGCTCGTTGATGGGTATGGTACAATTTTTAGATATTTTGGTTCGACATTTTCGGTATTTGGTTTCTTAAAATGCTATATCAATTCCATATCTAATTAAAATCAATATGGCTCGATTTTTCTCCTTTTGGTTTCGGTTTATTCGAACATTGGTTTGTTCGGTTTTGATAGAGATTGAAACTTTCTTTTTTGTCTTCAAGAGGTAAAAAAAATCTTGGAAAAAAACACATAATCAAATGAAGTAATTTCTGGAACTTCCAATTTTCTTGAGATTGAGTTAGAAGAAAGGCTTGTGTGATCATGTATGAACTTTTGAACTGGAGTACCCTCAATTCTGAAATAAATATAGGAATATGAAAAATAATGCAAAACAAAATTAAGTTGAACTAGCATTAATGATCGGAAGTGAATCAGATCTTTTACAATGAGGAAAAAGAGAATTAAAGATAATTCTATGTTTTAATTTAATTGCTCAGATATTCCATTGAGATTCATCGACCAATGACATGAGAATGGCACTAAGGATAAAGCAAGTAAACTTTTAGGCATGTTACATTTATGTTATAATTTAATATATGTGTATCGTGTAAGTTAGTATGTATTTCAGTACGATATCGGTAATTCGATATATTTTTTCTAAATACCGAATAACAAATTTTTTAAAAACATAAACCAAATACCACACCATAATACCAAATGTCGAAATCTTCAGTTTCGGTTCGATCATTCGGTATATACCAAATTATGCACGCCCCCCTACCATGGCGGCATACAGAACTTGCCTATCACTTGAGGCAAGCATCTTCTTATCGTAGAGCTCCTCCATTTCATCGATCTTATTCCAAATCTATGTATTACACTCCGTGTTGTCACAAGCGCGCTTAAGCCCTAAAGCGAGGCTCAAACCATGTTGAGTGCTTCGCCTCGCTTTGTGGGCGCTTTACTGTCGCATCAAAGCTCTAAGACATACTTTTCCTAACCAATAAGTGTAAGGCGATTAAACAATTGGTATTTTACTTTATCGTAAATCTTTTTCCAATTTGGTTGTCCATATATTTGTTATTCATGCTTATAATTATTAGTTTTGGACTACAAATACATATTTTTACTTTTTCTCCAGTTGCGCCTTTCATCATTAAAGCCCGCGCTTTATTTGGGCTTTGCGCTTAAAGCCCCAACAGACCTTAGAGCTTTTTTACGCTTTTCGTCTTTGATAACACTGATTACACTTCATCTACCCTTCCATCACTAGGAATACTTAGCCTAAATCTCAACTACCAATTCAGAATAGTGAGCCTAGATATATGAATATCTACTTGGGATATTGAGCCTAAATACCATAACTATCTTCATTCAGGTATCATATTCTGCATAATCTCACTTCAAGTTTATTCTTCTTATGGGGCAAAACATGCAATGGATGTATGGTCTTGCTTACTTATCCTAAACTATTAGGGGTTGTTTGGTTCAAAATCAGGCTATCGCAAGATTATAATCCTGTGATTAGTTTATAACCTGGATAACTTATTCCACCTTCTATATGGAATTAGTTATACCAAGATTTTAGTATAAAAATAATACCGGTTTTAGCTAATACCTCCAATCAAATACGGGATAATTTTAATCTCAAAATTTATACTGGAATAACCCACCTAGTCCCTTGAACCAAACAACTTACTTTCTTGAAAGTTTCCCCACAGTGCAAGCTTTTGGTTAACTGAATTCTCGCTAATTTTGTCAATAATAATATCATCTGTAGATAGTATGCATCATGGGGCCTCAGCTCATGCACATAGCCAGTTCATCCATAAGTAGCCCAAGCAAGAGATAAATAGATCTGTGGTGTAAACTGACAGATTTGAGAAGCTCCTTTATATCTTGTTGGTCTCACGCTTGTGATAGCTCTTTAATACACATCCTTTAGAGTCTGTTTGGAAAGCCACCTGTGTAATTGGAATTGGTGTAATTACTAGGGTAGTTACACAGCCTAGTAATTACACAGTTGTGTAATTACGATAGCCTGTTTGTTTGTCATAGTGTAATTACAGTGTAATTACAAGTTTACTGTTTGGTTGCACAAGTGTAATTACACAGTTAGATTAAATTTTAAATTAAATAATTATCAAAACTAAAAATTAATATAATAAATATATACCTATAAGATTTTATAAGTATAAATGATAATATATTTGGTATTTAAGATGTATATCTTTTCGTGAATATACATTAATTAATAATCATATATTTATAACTAATATTGTAAAAATAATTCATATATATTTTTTAAATTAATAATATTTAGTTTAGATACTTACAAAAACTAAAAAAATTTACGTTTTGTAAGAATATCATGGAATTCATGTTTGATAAAATAAATTAATATTTATAAATATAGTGTCATAACATTATTCAAATGTTTGACAAAACTAATCTACCAATTCTAACTAAAAAATGAACAATATGCAATGTGAGTCAATACTACAAAACAAGTAAATTGAAACCATGAATATAACACAATTTCAAAAATTCAAAAAATAAAATAGTTTAACTTATGTCAAATTCCAACATAATAATAGTAAGTCCCACTGCAACTTAAGATAGGGAACATGATAAGTTTATAACCACATTTAACAACGAAGTTCTACTTTAATTGCATCACTCATTATATGCCAAGTTTATTAATGACTCATTATTTCTAATATTAGGAGGTGTAGTTTCAAAAAATAGAATAATAAAATAAATAAAAAATAAAATATAAGCAATTACATGGAATCACAAGAAGTAAAGATTGAAAAATAAAAGATAAATAATGTACAAAGAAAATATATTTTAAAATTTCAAAAGAAATTAAAAAGTAAAAATAAAATTAAAAAATTAAAATAATAAAATAATAAAATAAAAAGTTATAAAGAAAATAAATTAAAATAGAAACAAAAAGGAAAGAAACTAAAAAGCAACCTTGTAATTACACAGTGTAATTATCACCAATACTTACCTCCCCTTGAGAATTAGAGAGTCTAATTACACCCCTCCAATTACCGCCAATTCCATGCTGACCAAGTAATTACTTGGCCAAACAAACATGCCAAACTGTGTAATAACACCCAAATCCAATTCCAAGGTGGCTTTCCAAACGGGCTCTTATGAAATTTACAACCCCCCCCCCCCCCC